GGGCACGGGACTGGGTGTTGGTTCTCCTAACTTAATGCTCAGAAGCAATTCTGCATTTTGTTTTATTTTCTTCCCTCCCTGAAGCTGGTTACCACAATGAGCACTGTGCTTGTCAATCATGAAAGCGCAACCTCCCGTGAGCTGCAAACGCTGAGCTTCTGGCAAGTCTGCTCTTCTTACTCATTCGCATACTTTTATTTTTCTCCCTGAAGTAAATAACTGTTTATTTAAGTAGTAATCCATATACATCCACATTTTCCTTCAGAGGAGGCTGTGTGATAGGAATTCACAATTTCATAAACACGGATATTGAAAAATTACAAGAGGATAACAAGTTATTTCTAGACAGTTTTGTGGAGTAGGTTTACCCTTTTGCTTTTCTATTTAAGGTGACGACCCTTGTCAACACCAGCAACAAAGGCCCATCTGGTAAAAAGAAAGGGAGGTCGAAGAAAGCCCACGTGTTGGCTGCGTCTGTAGAGCAAGCCACTCAGAATTTTCTGGAAAAGGGGGAACAGATTGCTAAGGAGAGTCAAGATCTCAAAGAAGAATTGGTCGCCGCTGTAGAAGATGTCCGCAAGCAAGGTAGGCAGAATCAGATTGTTCAAGATGGGTCCAGGCGGTGTGCAAACAATGGATTTTTCTCTAGAATCAATGCATTTTTACTCAAAGGAGTTGTCTTATTTTTCTTCTGCTCCATCTGCCCTTGTCATTGTTAATATTTGTCAGAATTGGGTGTGTAGACCAATACAAGTGCTTTTTGTTGTGGTCCTCAGTATAGGACAGCTACAAATGCTCTACATCTGCTGTTACTTCATGGTTTTCAAGTTGTTGTCTCTTAGTAGATGAAAACAGACTCTTGTGTTAAACTTAGAGTCACCAAAACCTAGGATTTGAAGGAGGAAGGAAAGAAGAGAATGTAAAGTAGTGTAATAAACTTATTGTTTCTTTGTATGATTCCTAAATTTTTATTTTCAGTTCTCAGCTTTCCTCAAAAATCTATCTAGCTATATCAGTTATATACCTAACTAGTTAGCTAAAATGCTATTTATTCACTACATTTAAAATTTTTCAGTTGTGTTACAATGCACACAAAATAAAATGTACCGCTTACCTGTTTTGACAGTTCAGTCGTGTTGCATATATTCACATTGTTGAGTAGCCAACCTCCAGAACCTTTTCATCTTGCAGAACTGAAACTGTACCCATTAAACGACTCCTCACTTCTTCCTCCCATTAGTCCCTGGCAACCACTATTCTACTTTCTTTTACTGTGAGTTTAACTATTCTAGATACCTCACGTAAGTGAAATCCTACTGTATTTGTCTTTTTGTGACTGGCTTATTTCATTTAGCATAATGTCCTCATAGCTCATTCATGTTGGAGCATGGATCCGAATTCCATTCCTTATTTGGATGAATAATATTCTATTGTATGTATATACCACATTTTCTTTTTCAGTTCATCCATTGATGGACATTTATGTCTCTTCTGTCTTTTGGCTCTTGTGCATAATTCTTCTATGAACACGAATATATAAATATCTCTTCATGACCCTGCTTTCAGTTCTTTTGTATATATGCAGGGGTACTGTTACTGGATGATATGGTAGTTCTATTTTGAGGAACCGCCGTACTCTTTTCCATAGCAGCTGCACCGTCTTTCATTCCCACCAACAGTGCACAAGGGTTCCAGTTTCTCCGTGTCCTTGTCAACACTTATTTTCTGGGGTTTTTTTTTTTTTTTTCCTGATGGGTATGAAGTGGATCTTGTGGTTTTGAATTGCATTTCCCTGATGATTAGTGATGTTGAGATATAACAGTTTTGAGATATATATCTATATATCTTTTTTTTTTTTTGGTTGTTGTTGTTTTCTCTTTTTTTTTTTTGTATAATAGTCATCACAGTGGGTGTAAGGTGATATCTTATTGTGATTTTGATTTGCATTTCTCATAATGATTAGTTAGATTGAACATCTTTTCTTGTGCTTGTTGGCTATGTGCATATCTTCTTTGGAGAAATGTCTATTTGAGTCCTTTGTCTATTTTTATGTTGTTTCATTGTTTTTATTGTTGAGTTGTAAGAGTTCTTTATATGTTCTGGATATTAACCCCTTATCAGATATTGTTTTACAAATATTTGGTCCCATTCTGTAAACCTACCTTTTTACTGTGTCGACGGTGCCCTTGGATGTACAGAACTTTTTAATTTTGATGTAGTCCTATTTGGAATCTTTAGTTGAAAATTTGAAGGCACCATTAAATCAAAACACAAACCTCCCCAGCCTGGCCTCCCTCCTGCATTTCTTTTGACTCAGAGAATGCAACACATATGTATCCAGTTGCATATTGCCGAAATCTTGGTACTGTCCTTGTTATTTCTTTCTTTTTCCAAATACAATTTATTATAAAGTCCCATAGATTTTAAAAAAGGGGAGAGAACTTTCATTCCTCTATACCTTCATTCATCCAACAAATATTTATTGACGTTTTATGAGTACTAGGCGTTGCAAATCATTGATCAGCAAAAGACACATGGTATCATCTGTATCTTTATTAATGTATAGTGTGGCAGGATAATGGATATTGGATATTCTTATCTTAATCAAAAACGCCATGCGTTAGCTGCCCCAGGGCCTTCATACATTCTGCCTCCTTTCACACAGTTAAGCATGCCTCAATGCATATCCCAGCTCAAAGAACACTTTCCCAGGGAAAGCTTCGGGACACTCCTGCCATGCTTTCCATGGCTCTTTTCCTTGCCACTTTCACAGGATAATTCAATATTTGTGGGATCACTTGATTGATGACTTGCTGTCTGCCAAACCACCTTCTTTGTGCTGCCACTTTCTTCCCCCTAAAAGTTAATTTCCTTCACATTACACTAATGTTAATGTTACTTTAATTTGAAATGTTAAATTTTACATATTTCACCTAATGTGGATGGAGTATATGGGTGGATGTGTTTTAGCAATGTGTAACCTTATAAGTTTTCAAGTGCTATTGAAAACTGATATTCCTTCTGAATTACAGATGGACACTTGTTTGCTTGCATGCATCTGTAACCTGGATAATTTTTTTGCTTTCTATCTTTTTTTTTTTTTAGGTTGACTGATATATAATAAATTGCACAGGTTTAAAGAGTACAATTTGATAAGTTTTGACAAATGTGTACACCATGAAACCATCACCACACTTGAGATAGTGAACTTCTCCCTGGTGGAAAGAGTTTTGATCCACTAGTCTGTAGGCCACTTCCTCAAAGCATTTGCCTTTTATGGTGATACATTTTCCTTTTTAGTTCCCTCAACAATCTCTTAGCATTCCCTTATTTTTTCTTGCAAGTAAGTTAGTGTTGATACCTTCTGTAGAAATTCATGTTTTCGTGTTCTTTACACTTATCTGAAATGGTGTTTTTGACAGTTTTTGGCCAGAATGTCCTAGTGATAATAGAGTGAGACGTTTTAAAGATGCTAATTTAAGACAGCTTATAGTGGTTGCTCTTTTAGAGAATATTTTAGACTTCCTCTATATTATTCATATTCATTTTTTGTTGAAGAAAAATTATGAGTCAGAAATGATGCCTATGTGTTACCTGTATAAAGCTCAACTGCCACGTGGCTCTTTCTCTAAAGAGTGTCCAAATCAAGAAAGCATTGCCGTGTGACACAAAATGACAAACATTTTACTGGCAAAAGGCCTTTAAGCTCCTCTTTTCCTGTTTCTCTCACTGTCAGATATCTCCCATACATTTCAGCTGCCTGCCATGTGAGAGGGGGCCCCTGCTCCACGACGGCCAAGTCCTCAGGTTCTCCTTCCAGTTCTGTGCCCACAGGTTCTCTTACCTCCTTCCTCCTGCTTCTCAGTTCTTTATTGTGCAGCCTCCTTACCCAGCCTGGCTTGTTTGCCTGTTACCTAGGTTTTTATTTACAAATGAGAGCCTGAGCTGATTTCAGAGAGAGGTGGAAAAAAGGAACTTGAGGGGAACAAGTGAGGCGTAGAACAGGAATATTTAGTTACTGGAAACTTGAACACATAGTATCTTTCCTTCCATCATAGAAATCTACTTTCTAATATGCAAGATGATGTTCAGAAATTATGGCCACACTGATATTTAGAAACAATTTCCTTCTTTGAGGTGGCTTCAGCATCTATATAGTCTTACTTATAATATGTATGTAGAATTCAGTCTGTTAGAAGTGATCTATTACCATGGAGTTGTTTCTGCTTTTTAAATTACATGATCAAAAGTATTGCCACTGTCTAAAAAAGTATTTCAGCGTGAGTAGATACCACAAGTTTTAATATCGTACGTCTCCATTATCAGATTTTTAATATAGAATTATCTATTGTTGTTTTTTGAAGTTTCACAACATTCATGGTTATAATTACTGTAATTTGGCAAGATTATATATGAAATTATCTAACTATGTCATTATTGTGTCTTCTATGGTAACCTTAGCATTGTTTGAAATGCTTTATAATTAAAAAAAATATATTGCCTCTTTTAAACCTAGGCTGCGTGCCAGATTTTTAAAAGTGCTCACTATGGGTAATGACAGTATTTTCACTAGAATATTATAGTAAAATATTTTCCTGTACTTTTAAGTTATAGCCTGCAAGAAAAAGTATTTGAGTAGGTTTATGATAGCATTTATGTTAAAACACACACACACACACACACACACACACACACA